GACTGTATGTAGGTAGAGCTTAACATGGCCTTAATAAAAAGAAAGATTAACCCATTTTGACTTGTTTTTTTGTTGCCTCTCCGAGCGATGTTCTATCGATTCCCGGAGCCATTTCATGTTTGATGCAAAACTTGTCATACCAGCTGTATTTCTGTAGTTTGAATAACTCCAATATAAAACATAAACCGACCACAGGAATCGATAGAACGTCGCACAGAGATGAACAATAACATTCAAAATGAGTGACTCTTTCCTTTTAAGCGCTGCACACGTCTTAACATTTACACACAAAAAGACGTGTCTCCCATTCTAAACACAACAAAACCAATGGCTGTAATTCTGCCAGGATTATTGGGAATTTCATTTTACTGCCTGAATTGAAAAAGGACCAGAACAGTTTCTATTGGACAAATTCAGGTACAGTGGGGAAAAAAAGTATTTAGTCAGCCACCAATTGTGCAAGTTCTCCCACTTAAAAAGATGAGAGAGGCCTGTAATTTTCATCATAGGTACACGTCAACTATGACAGACAAAATGAGAAAAAAAAATCCAGAAAATCACATTGTAGGATTTTTAATGAATTTATTGGCAAATGATGGTGGAAAATAAGTATTTGGTCAATAACAAAAGTTTCTCAATACTTTGTTATATACCCTTTGTTGGCAATGACACAGGTCAAACGTTTTCTGTAAGTCTTCACAAGGTTTTCACACACTGTTGCTTATATTTTGGCCCATTCCTCCATGCAGATCTCCTCTAGAGCAGTGATGTTTTGGGGCTGTCGCTGGGCAACACAGACTTTCAACTCCCTCCAAAGATTTTCTATGGGGTTGAGATCTGGAGACTGGCTAGGCCACTCCAGGACCTTGAAATGCTTCTTACGAAGCCACTCCTTCGTTGCCCGGGCGGTGTGTTTGGGATCATTGTCATGCTGAAAGACCCAGCCACGTTTCATCTTCAATGCCCTTGCTGATGGAAGGAGGTTTTCACTCAAAATCTCACGATACATGGCCCCATTCATTCTTTCCTTTACACGGATCAGTCGTCCTGGTCCCTTTGCAGAAAAACAGCCCAAAAGCATGATGTTTCCACCCCCATGCTTCACAGTAGGTATGGTGTTCTTTGGATGCAACTCAGCATTCTTTGTCCTCCAAACATGACGAGTTGAGTTTTTACCAAAAAGTTATATTTTGGTTTCATCTGACCATATGACATTCTCCCAATCCTCTTCTGGATCATCCAAATGCACTTCAGACGGGCCTGGACATGTACTGGCTTAAGCAGGGGGACACGTCTCGCACTGCAGGATTTGAGTCCCTGGCGGCGTAGTGTGTTACTGATGGTAGGCTTTGTTACTTTGGTCCCAGCTCTCTGCAGGTCATTCACTAGGTCCCCCCGTGTGGTTCTGGGATTTTTGCTCACCGTTCTTGTGATCATTTTGACCCCACGAGGTGAGATCTTGCGTGGAGCCCCAGATTGAGGGAGATTATCAGTGGTCTTGTATGTCTTCCATTTCCTAATAATTGCTCCCACAGTTGATTTCTTCAAACCAAGCTGCTTACCTATTGCAGATTCAGTCTTCCCAGCCTGGTGCAAGTCTACAATTTTGTTTCTGGTGTCCTTTGACAGCTCTTTGGTCTTGGCCATTGTGGAGTTTTGAGTGTGACTGTTTGAGGTTGTGGACAGGTGTCTTTTATACTGATAACAAGTTCAAACAGGTGCCATTAATACAGGTAACGAGTGGAGGACAGAGGAGCCTCTTAAAGAAGAAGTTACAGGTCTGTGAGAGCCAGAAATCTTGCTTGTTTGTAGGTGACCAAATACTTATTTTCCACCATAATTTGCAAATAAATTCATTAAAAATCCTACAATGGGATTTTCTGGATTTTTTTTCCTCAATTGTCTGTCATAGTTGACGTGTACCTATGATGAAAATTACAGGCCTCTCTCATCTTTTTAAGTGGGAGAACTTGCACAATTGGTGGCTGACTAAATACTTTTTTTCCCCACTGTAGGTCCCTCCCCCGTTTTCATTTGCAACAATCGGCGGAATGAATACACCCATCTTCTACCTACACAGAATATTTCTCTACACTAGACATGACGCTTCAGGCTAGGGCTAATCAATGCATTTCAAACGATGTTCCATCATTTATTTTAAACCTGAAAATAATGTAACTGCATATAGTAATAGTAGTAGTAGTAGTAGTAGTTGTAATAATTCACTTGATAAGATTTGTAAAGTTCATGGTCCTTGTATATTTGTCCCATATAAAACAAGCTTAACGTCACATTCTTCAAGATAGGAAAAAACGAAAAAGTTCTATATGTATATATATATATAATAAAAAAATATGCCCTTCTAATGAGGAAATACAATCACACAAAAAAATATAAAACGCTATACATTTAGTTGACACTTCTCAGATCATGCTTAAAACTTCACGTGTCGTGTTGGGTTCCATCCCAAATGTCACCCTTTTCCCCCTTTATAGTGCACTACTTTAACCAGGGCCCCTTGGGGAACAGGCACTACTTTAACCAGGGCCCCTTGGGGAACAGGGACTACTTTAACCAGGGCCCCTTGGGGAACAGGGACTACTTTAACCAGGGCCCCTTGGGGAACAGGGACTACTTTAACCAGGGCCCCTTGGGGAACAGGGACTACTTTAACCAGGGCCCCTTGGGGAACAGGGACTACTTTAACCAGGGCCCCTTGGGGAACAGGGACTACTTTAACCAGGGCCCCTTGGGGAACAGGGACTACTTTAACCAGGGCCCCTTGGGGAACAGGGACTACTTTAACCAGGGCCCCTTGGGGAACAGGGTGCCATTAGGGAAGCATCCTAACTTCAAGTAAAAACAGACAGGAGGACGTAACAATGGGCTAACTTCACAGTTCATATGAACACAGCGAGCGTTTCCACAGCAACACATTTTGATACTACACTAGCCTGGTCCCAGATCTGTTTGTGCTGTCTTGACAGCAGCTGGTTAGCAAGAAAGCACAAACCGATCTGGGATCAGGCTAAGTCCACACACACTCCTTCAGAAGGGCATTTCTTAACAGGGCCAGGTTCACTAGCCAAACGGGGCCAGGTTCACTAGCCAAACGGGGCCAGGTTCACTAGCCAAACGGGGCCAGGTTCACTAGCCAAACGGGGCCAGGTTCACTAGCCAAACGGGCCAGGTTCACTAGCCAAACGGGGCCAGGTTCACTAGCCAAACGGGGCCAGGTTCACTAGCCAAACGGGGCCAGGTTCACTAGCCAAACGGGGCCAGGTTCACTAGCCAAACGGGGCCAGGTTCACTAGCCAAACGGGGCCAGGTTCACTAGCCAAACGGGGCCAGGTTCACTAGCCAAACGGGGCCAGGTTCACTAGCCAAACGGGGCCAGGTTCACTAGCCAAACAGGGCCAGGTTCACTAGCCAAACGGGGCCAGGTTCACTAGCCAAACAGGGCCAGGTTCACTAGCCAAACAGGGCCAGGTTCACTAGCCAAACTGGGCCAGGTTCAGTAGCCAAACAGGGCCAGGTTCAGTAGCCAAACGTTGCAGATAGAAATTCCATGAAGAGAGGCATGTTTGTTCTACGTACATTTCTATCCGAAGGTTCCAAGACGTGTCCTGCTGAACGCGCCCCAAGGAATAACAGTAGGAGGGTTATTATGGGGATAGACATGGGGGTTGAGGAGGGTTATTATAGGGATAGACAGGGGGTTGAGGAGGGTTATTATGGGATAGATAGGGGGTTGAGGAGGGTTATTATGGGGATAGATAGGGGGGTTGAGGAGGGTTATTATGGGGATAGATAGGGGGGTTGAGGAGGGTTATTATGGGGATAGATAGGGGGGTTGAGGAGGGTATTATGGGGATAGATAGGGGGTTGAGGAGGGTAATTATGGGGATAGATGGGGGTTTGGGAGGGTTATTATGGGGATAGATAGGGGGGTTGAGGAGGGTTATTATGGGGATAGATAGGGGGGTTGAGGAGGGTAATTATGGGGATAGACAGGGGGGTTGAGGAGGGTAATTATGGGGATAGATAGGGGGTTGAGGAGGGTTATTATGGGGATAGATAGGGGGGTTGAGGGGGTAATTATGGGGTAGATAGGGGGGTTGAGGAGGGTTTTATGGGGATAGTAGGGGGGTTTGAGGAGGGTAATTTGGGGATGACAGGGGGGTTGAGGAGGGTATTATGGGGATAGATAGGGGGGTTGAGGAGGGTTATTATGGGGGTTGAGGAGGGTTATTATGGGGATGACATGGGGGTTGAGGAGGGTAATTATGGGGATAGATAGGGGGGTTGAGGAGGGTTATTATGGGGATAGATAGGGGGGTTGAGGAGGGTAATTATGGGGATAGACAGGGGGGTTGAGGAGGGTAATTATGGGGATAGATAGGGGGGTTGAGGAGGGTTATTATGGGGATAGATAGGGGGGTTGAGGAGGGTAATTATGGGGATAGATAGGGGGGTTGAGGAGGGTTATTATGGGGGTTGAGGAGGGTTATTATGGGGGTTGAGGAGGGTTATTATGGGGATAGATAGGGGGGTTGAGGAGGAGAGAAGATGGAAGCATAGAGGGGTTGGAATAGTAGACTGGTAAGTAGAGACTATAGAGGGGTTGTAAGGCATAATGTAAAATGAAGTTAGGATATGTAGGCCACTGTTGGGGGGGACAGCATATGGTGGAGAATGCAGGTAGTATTTTGGGGGGAACGTTAAAGTAGAACCCTCATCCCAGTCCATTCGCCTGGCAACACAGCTGCAACCAGAGGCTCGGTATAGCTTCCTTCACCCTCCTTACTTTCTGTCCAAAGGCATCAAAACATTCCAATAATAATCACCATGTTCTACAATTGTGCATGATTCTACATAGCAGCTGCAGGAAAAAAAAACATTGACAAAAACAATTACAATACAAAAAAAAAATCTAGATTTTGCTGGTAGCTGTTATTTTCCAATCTCATGTTCTGTGGTACAGCTCTGTTCCTCTCCTATCTGGACATGTACTGCATCATCACCTCTCCTCCTTTCCTCTGCGGCTGTCCCACCACCCTCTCTTCTTCCTCCTCCTCCTCCTCCTCTTCCTCCTCACCCCCCTCTTCCTTGTGGGCGCCCGCCATCTGAACTTTGACCCATCCGTCGGTGGCGAGGCCGTGTTTCTTCTGGTGGCGTTTGTAGTTGTCCCAGTGTCCCGTGGTGTAGCCACACTCCTGGCATTTGTAGGGCTTCTCGCCCGTGTGTCTCAGCATGTGTCTCTTCAGGTTCATGCTCTGGTTACAGCTGTAGCTGCACACCTCGCACTGGAACGGCTTGGCGCCCGAGTGGACCCGCTGGTGCCGTTTTAAGTTAGCCAGGTTGCCACAGGCGTAGTCACACAGGTGGCACTTGTAGGGCTTCTCGCCCGTGTGGACTCTGTGGTGGCGTTTCAGGTTGTCGAAGTGGGCGGAGGCATAGTCGCACTGAGGGCACTTGTAGGGCTTCTCTCCGCTGTGCGTCTTCATGTGTCGCGCCAGGTGGTTGGGGTAGTGGGTGAGGAAGGGACAGGCGCTGCAGGTGTAGACCTTATCCCCGCGCTCCCCGGGGCTGTTGGGCCCGGATGAGTTCTTGGTCAGCATGTCCAGGGTGCACTTGGCACAGATCTGGGCGGTGGAACCGTCCTCGTCCTCCAGGGGGATACCACAGAGACGACAGGTGAAGGGGAAGAGGAGAGGAGGGAGAGAGTCCTCTGACTTCACTCCCACCACAGGCCCAGACTTAGTCCCAGCTCCGACCCTAGCCCCAAGTCCAGGCCCGCAGCCAGGGGCCTCAAGTCTTGGGGGCTGGTGGTCAGAGAGCTGTTGCTCCAGTGGTCTGCTTGGTCGGCTGCAGCGTGGCAGGTAGTCTCTATTGTGGAGGTTTAGATCAGGCCTCACAGCTTCTGAAATCAGAGCAGAGGTGGGCAAAATTAGTCAATTCAGTTGAAAAAAAGCTGTTATCGCACACACAGAGCATTCGGAAAGTATTCAGACACTTTTACTTTTTCCATTTTGTTACGTTACAGCCTTTTTCTAAAATTATGTAAAGAAAAAAATAGATATATATATATATATATATATATTCAATCTACACACAATACCCCATAATGACGAAGCGAAAACAGGTTTAGACATTTTTGCACATTTAAAAATAAAAAACATACCTTATTTACGTAAGTATTCAGACCCTTTGCTATGAGACACGAAATTGAGCTCAGGTGCATCCTGTTTCCATTGATCATCCTTGAGATGTTTCCACAACTTGGAGTCCACCTGTGGTAAATTCAATTGATTGGACATGATTTGGAAAAGCACACACCTGTCTATATAAAGGTCCCACAGTTGACAGTGCATGTCAGAGCAAAAATCAAGCCATGAGGTCTAAGGAATTGTCTGTAGAGCTCCGAGACAGCATTGTGTCGAGGCACAGATCTGGGGAAGGTTACCAAAACATATCTGCAGCATTGAAGGTCCCCAAGAACACAGTGGCCTCCATCTTTCTTAAATGGAAGAAGTTTGGAACCACCAAGAATCTTCCTAGAGCTGGCCGCCCGGCCAAACTGAGAAATCGGGGGAGAAGGCCTTGGTCAGGGAGGTTACCAAGAACCCGATGGTCACTCTGACAGAGCTCCAGAGTTCCTCTGTGGAGATGAGAGAACTTTCCAGAAGGACAACCATCTCTGCAGCACTCCACCAATCAGGCCTTTATGGTAGAGCGGCCAGAAGGAAGCCACTCCTCAGTAAAAGGAACATGACAGCCCGCTTGGAGTTTGCCAAAAGACATCTAAAGGACTGTCAGACCAAGAGAAACAAGATTCTCTGGTCTGATGAAACCAAGATGGAACTCTTTTGCCTGAATGCCAAGCATCACGTCTGGAGAAAACCTGGCACCATCCCTACGGTGAAGCATTGTGCTGGCAGCATCATGCTGTGGGGATATTTTTCAGCGGCAGGGACTGGGAGACTAGTCAGGATTGAGGGAAAGATGAACAGAGCAAAGTACAGAGAGATCCCTGCTCCAGAGCGCTCAGGAGTGGCTTCGGGACAAGTCTCTGAATGTCCTTGAGTGGCCCAGCCAGAGCCCAGACTTGAACCTGATCTAACATCTCTGGAGAGACCTGACAATAGCTGTGCAGCGACGCTCCCCATCCAACCTGACAGAGCTTGAGAGGATCTGCAGAGAAGAATGGGAGAAACTCCACAAATACAGGTGTGCCAAGCTTGTAGCGTCATACCCAAGAAGACTCAAGGCTGTAATCGCTGCCAAAGGTGCTTCAACAAAGTACTGAGTAAAGGGTCTGAACACTTATGTAAATGTTATATCCGTTTTTTGATTTTTAATACACTTGCAAAAATGTCTAAAAACCTGTTTTTGCTTTTTTATTATGGGGTATTGTGTGTAGATTGATGAGGGAAAACATCTTTAAAGTTCCAAATGGTCTTTAAGAACTGATACAGGCCTAAATCTTTAATTCACATTTTCCCCATGTTTCATGAGCTGGAAACAAAAAATCCCTGAAATGTTCCATATGCACAAAAAGCTTCTTTCTCTCAAATTTTGTGCACAAAGTTGTTTACATCCCTGTTAGTGAGTGTTTCTCCTTTGCCAAGATAATCCATCCACCTGACAGGTGCGGCATATCAAGAAGCTGATTAAACAACTGAAGAATTTCTGCACAAACTGTCAGAAACCGTCTCAGGGAAGCTCATCTGTGTGCTCGTCGTCCTCACCAGGGTCTTGACCTGACTGCAGTTCGGCGTCGAAACCGACTTCAGTGGGCAAATGCTCACCTTCCATGGCCACTGGCACGTTGGAGAAGTGTGCTCTTCATGGATGAATCCCGGTTTTAACTGTACCGGGCAAATGGCAGACAGCGTGTATGGCGTCGTGGGGGTGAGCAGTTTGCTGATGTGAACAGAGTGCCCCATGGTGGCGGTGGGGTTATGGTATGGGCAGGCATAAGCTACGGACAACGAACACAATTGCATTTTATCGATGGCAATTTCAACGCACAGAGATACCGTGACGAGATCCTGAGGCCCATTGTCGTGCCATTCATCCGCCGCCATCACCTCATGTTTCAGCATGATAACGCACGGCCCCATGTCGCAAGGATCTGTACACAATTCCTGGATGCTGAAAATGTCCCAGTTCTTCCATGGCCTGCATACTCACCAGACATGTCACCCATTGAGCATGTTTGGGATGCTCTGGACCGACGTGGACAACTGCATGTTCCAGTTCTGGCCAATATCCAGCAACTTCGCACAGCCATTGAAGAGGAGTGGGACAACATTCCACAATCAACAGCCTGATCAACTCTATGCGAAGGAGATGTGTCGCGCTGCATGAGTCAAACGGTGGTCACACCAGATACTGACTGGTTTTCTGATCCACTCCCCTACCTTAAAAAAAAAAAAAAAAGTATCTGTGACCAACAGATGCATATCTGTATTCCCAGTCATGTGAAATCCATAGATTAGGGCCTAATTAATTTATTTCAATTGACTGATTTCCTTATATGAACTGTAACTCAGTAAAATATTTGAAATTGTTGCATGTTGCTTTTATATTTTTGTTCAGTGTAGTTGAAAAATACCTTCAGCTGAAGCACTGGGCTCCTCCTTCCTCTTAAGACCATGCCCACTAGCAGGAGGACCAATAAGAGGAGGGCCAACGGCAGAGGGACCAATAGCAGGATGGCCACCGGCAGAGGGACCAATAGCAGGATGGCCACCGGCAGAGGGACCAATAGAAGGTCCGCAGGCAGGTCTAACTGCTTCCTGTCCAGCCACATGCATCCTCTGATGCCTCTTCAGGTTGCCTAGGGAACTGCAGGCGAAGGAGCAGGAGTCACACCTGTATGGTTTCTCCCCAGTGTGAATCCTCAGGTGTCTCTGCAGGTTGACCAGCTGGGCTGAGGCGTAGGTACACAGGGGGCAGTGGTACGGCTTCTCCCCGTTGTGAGTCTTCATGTGCCTCTTGACGTGGTTGGCGTAGCGGGAGGAGAACCCACACAGCTGGCAGGAGTGGAGCTTGGACGACGGGCCGTCGTCACCCATCATCGAGTTGTCGTCCCCTCCTTCCTCGCTATCGTCCGCTTGTGACCGCGAACCGGAGCGAAAGCCGCCAAACGCGGCGCTGAATTCCCCCCCAACTCCTCCTCCCTTGCAGCACCGGTGGCAGTAGGGTCCCACCAGGTCCAGGCCACAGCCCCGGCAGGACAGGTAGGGGGGGAAGGGGGCCTCGAGGTCGGGCTGGGAGGCTGGACCGTCTCCCTGGTCCCTGCAGCTCTCGGTGGCGGTGCGGGGGTCGTCTGCGTCGCCCTCCATATTGAGACGGCGGTAGACACAACCCTCTTCCTCATCACCCAGAGGGTACACAGAGAAGCCGATCTCAGCCGATACAGAGTCTAAAAGGCAGAAAAAAACACTTATGATGAATCCTCACAGTCACAGGGTTAAATACACTATCAAAAGACATGATACAGACTGAGAACCCATCTCTACACAACAGGAGGTAGATACATGATACAGACTGAGAACCCATCTCTACACAACAGGAGGTAGGAGGGGATACATGATACAGACTGAGAACCCATCTCTACACAACAGGAGGGGATACATGATACAGACTGAGAACCCATCTCTACACAACAGGAGGTAGATACATGATACAGACTGAGAACCCATCTCTACACAACAGGAGGTAGGAGGGGATACATGATACAGACGCAGAGGTGGATACATGATACAGACTGAGAACCCATCTCTACACAACAGGAGGTAGATACATGATACAACTGATACCCATCCTCTACACACAGGAGGTAGATACATGATACAGACTGATAACCCATCTCTAACACAAAGGAGGTAGATACATGATACACGACTGAGAACCCATCTCTACACAAACAGGAGGTAGATACCTGATACAGACTGAGAACCCATCTCTACCACAACAGGAGGTAGATACAGGGTGATACAGACTGAGAACCCACTCTACACAACAGGAGGTAGGAGGGGATAACATGATAACCAGACTGAGAAAACCCACTCTTACACAACAGGAGGGAAACATGGGAATCCAGACTGAGAACCCATCTCTACACACAGGAGGGTAGATACATGATACAGACTGAGAACCCATCTCATACACAACAGGAGGTAGATACATGATACAGACTGAGAACCCATCTCTACACAACAGGAGGGAGGGGAGGGGATACATGATACAGACTGAGAACCCCATCTCTACACAACAGGAGGGGAGGAGGGGGATACATGATACAGACTGAGACCCATCTCTACACAACAGGAGGGGAGGAGGGGATAATGATACAGACTGAGAACCCATCTCTACACAAACAGGAGGGGAGGAGGGGATACATGATACAGACTGAGAAACCCATCTCTACACAACAGGAGGGAGGAGGGGATACATGATACAGACTGAGAACCCCCATCTCTACACAAACAGGAGGGGATACATGATACAGACTGAGAACCCATCTCTACACAACAGGAGGGGAGGTAGATACATGATACAGACTGAGAACCCATCTCTACACAACAGGAGGGAGGAGGGGATTACATGAACAGGCTGAGAACCCATCTCTACACAAACAGGAGGGGAGGTGGTAGATACATGTTACAGACTGAGAACCCATCTTACACAACAGGAGGGGGGTGGGGATACATGGATTACAGACTGAGGAACCCATGCTCTAAACAACAGGACGTTATGTATACATGATACAGAACTTGGAGAACCCATCTCTACACAACATGGAGGGGAGGGGGTTAGATACATTGATACAGGACTGAGCATAGAACCCATTTGCTTATTACACAAACAGGAGGGAGGGAAGGGGATACAATGTTTACAGACTGAGCACACCCATCTCTTACACAACAGGAGGTCAGGAGGGGAATACATGATACAGGCCTGGAAAACCCATCTCTACTACAAACAGGAGGGGGAGGGGTATGGGGATACATGATACGGACTGAGGTAAACCCATCTCTACACAACAGAGAGGGAGGGGGAGGGGATACATGATTACAGACTTGAAGAACCCTCTCTACACCAAACAGGAGGTAGATTACATGTACAGACTGTGAACCCATCCTCTCCACAACAGGAGGGGAGGAGGGGATACATGTTACAGACTGAGAACCCATCTCTACACAACAGGAGGGAGGAGGGGATACATGATACAGACTGAGAACCATCTCTACACAACAGGAGGGGAGGAGGGGGATACTGATACAGATGAGAACCCATCTCTACACACAGGAGGGGAGGGTAGATACATGAACAGACTGAGAACCCATCTCTACACAACAGGAGGGGAGGAGGGGATACATGATACAGACTGAGAACCCATCTCTACACAACAGGAGGGGAGGAGGGGATACATGATACAGACTGAGAACACCATCTCTACACACAGGAGGGAGGAGGGGATACATGATGACAGACTGAGAACCCATCTCTACACAACAGGAGGGAGGAGGGGATACATGTTAAGACTGAGAACCCATCTCTACACAACAGGAGGTAGATACATGATACAGACTGAGAACCCATCTCTACACAACAGGAGGTAGATACATGATACAGATTGAGAACCCATCTCTACACAACAGGAGGTAGATACATGATACAGACTGAGAACCCATCTCTACACAACAGGAGGTAGATACATGTTACAGACTGAGAACCCATCTCTACACAACAGGAGGGAGGAGGGGGATACATGTTACAGACTGAGAACCCATCTCTACACAACAGGAGGGAGGAGGGGATACATGATACAGACTGAGAACCCATCTCTACACAACAGGAGGTAGATACATGATACAGACTGAGAACCCATCTCTACACAACAGGAGGTAGATACATGTTACAGACTGAGAACCCATCTCTACACAACAGGAGGGAGGAGGGGATACATGTTACAGACTGAGAACCCATCTCTACACAACAGGAGGGAGGAGGGGATACATGATACAGACTGAGAACCCATCTCTACACAACAGGAGGTAGATACATGATACAGACTGAGAACCCATCTCTACACAACAGGAGGTAGGAGGGGATACATGATACAGACTGAGAACCCATCTCTACACAACAGGAGGGTAGATACATGTTACAGACTGAGAACCCATCTCTACACAACAGGAGGGGAGGAGGGGATACATGATACAGACTGAGAAACCCATCTCTACACAACAGGAGGGTAGATACATGTTACAGACTGAGAACCCATCTCTACACAACAGGGAGGGAGGAGGGATACATGATACAGACTGAGAAACCCATCTCTACACAACAGGAGGGAGGAGGGGATACATGATACAGACTGAGAACCCATCTCTACACAACAGGAGGGAGGAGGGGATACATGATACAGACTGAGAACCCATCTCTACACAACAGGAGGGGAGGAGGGGATACATGTTACAGACTGAGAACCCATCTCTGCACAACAGGAGGAAGGAGGGGATACATGATACAGACTGAGAACCCATCTCTACACAACAGGAGGGGCTACATGATACAGACTGAGAACCCATCTCTACACAACAGGAGGGAGGAGGGGATACATGATACAGACTGAGAAACCCATCTCTACACAACAGGAGGGAGGAGGGGATACATGATACAGACTGAGAACCCATCTCTACACAACAGGAGGGAGGAGGGGATACATGTTACAGACTGAGGAACCCATCTCTACACAACAGGAGGGGATACATGATACAGACTGAGAAACCCATCTCTACACAACAGGAGGGGAGGAGGGGGATACATGATACAGACTGAGAAACCCATCTCTACACAACAGGAGGGAGGAGGGGATACATGATACAGACTGAGAACCCATCTCTACACAACAGGAGGGGAATACATGTTACAGACTGAGAACCCATTCTACACAACAGGAGGGAGGAGGGGGATACATGATACAGACTGAGAACCCATATCTACACAACATGAGGGGATACATGTTACAGACTGAGAACCCATCTCTACACAACAGGAGGGAGGAGGGGATACATGATACAGACTGAGAACCCATCTCTACACAACAGGAGGGAGGAGGGGATACATGATACAGACTGAGAACCCATCTCTACACAACAGGGGGGTGGAGGGGATACATGTTACAGACTGAGAACCCATCTCTACACAACAGGAGGTCCGAGGAGGGGATACCTGATACAGACTGAGAACACCATTCTCTACACAACAAGGGGGGAGGAGGGGATACATGATACAGACTGAGAAACCCATCTCTACACAACAGGGGGGTGGGTGGAGGGGATACATGTTACAGACTGAGAAACCCATCTCTACCAAACAGGAGGTAGATACATGATACAGACTGAGAAACCCATCTCTACACAACAGGAGGTAGATACATGATACAGACTGAGAACCCATCTCTACACAACAGGAGGGAGGAGGGGATACATGATACAGACTGAGAACCCATCTCTACACAACAGGAGGAGAGGGATACATGATACAGGACTGAGGAAACCCATCTCTACACAACAGGAGGGAGGATGGGGGGATACATGATACAGACTGAGAACCCATCTCTACACAAACAGGAGGTAGATACATGTTACAGATGAGAACCCATCCTAACACAACAGGAGGGAGGAGGGGATACATGATACAGACTGAGAACCCATCTCTAACACAACAGGAGGTAGTACATGTTACAGATGAGAACCCATCTCTACACAACAGGAGGGGAGGAGGGGATACATGTTACAGACTGAGAACCCATCCTCTACACAACAGGAGGGAGGAGGGATACATGATACAGACTGAGAACCCATCTCTACACAACAGGAGGGGGTGGGAGGGGATACATGTTACAGAATGAGAACCCCATCTCTACACAACAGGAGGTAGGAGGGGATACATGATACAGACTGAGAACCCATCTCTACACAAACAGGAGGGGAGGGGGATACATGATACAGACCTGAGAACCCATCTCTACACAACAGGAGGGAGGAGGGGATACATGATACAGACTGAGAACCCATCTCTACACAACAGGAGGTAGGAGGGGATACATGATACAGACTGAGAACCCATCTCTACACAACAGGAGGGGGGAGGGGATACATGATACAGACTGAGAACCCATCTCTACACAACAGGAGGGGATAATGTTACAGATGAGAACCACTCTCTATGAGAACCCCTCTCTACACAACAGGAGGGAGGAGGGGATACATGATACAGACTGAGAACCCATCTCTACACAACAGGAGGGAGGAGGGGATACATGATACAGACTGAGAACCCATCTCTACACAACAGGAGGTAGGAGGGGATACATGATACAGACTGAGAACCCATCTCTACACAACAGGA